TCTTTCTCGTCCACTCTTAAACTTTTTGGCCCAATCAAACACTTGAGTTTTAGACAGAGTATCATCTCCATACTGAACCTTCAATCGAGTCAAAATTTCGCACGGTTTAACGCCTTCCTTAGTTAAAAACTTTATTATAACCCGTTGTGCAACGGACGCTGGAACCTGTTGCTCACTCATAGCTGTACTGGCGAATTGACTGAGTCAAACAGCTCACCAAGCATTTTCCCCACTCCTGATACACTACACTATAAGAACCTACACTGTGAGAGCGCTCGTGGTTGGCTAAGAAATGTATTTGTAAAATTCCGGTTTATATTTGATCCACCCTCGTACTTATGAATCTAAGTTGGTACATGTAAGTGTTACAATTATGACTATAATAATATAATCAAAAAGATAAAGAAAATTCTATATAATAATAGTATACGGATGATTAACGGATACAAGATATAAAGTATATAAAGTGTCTTAATATAATCATCATAAGGATGACGATGTTGTCTTATATTATTATTGGATGCCGGATATTGCTGACGCTATTTTTGCATCAGTACGCTGAGCGCATCCCATGGCGATGAGCAGATCTTGCAGGCTGCTCATTTCATCTTCGCTTTCACGCTTTAATTCAAGCGTGATGACAGCACCGTAGGTTTCTACGGGCTCGAGGATCCGCATCCATCCTTCTCTCTTTCCTAGCAGAGTCCTAGTGAGTGCTCTACTCTTCCGGGGCCACCTGGGTCTTAACCCGACGGGGCCAAGGTGAGCAAGTCCGCATGGAATGGCTTGCCAATCCATCTTCCGAAAACGATGTACATATCGGTGATCGGACGTCGGATGACACGGCCCCAGTCTTTTAATGCTACTATGACCGTATCTCTTTCTTCGAGGCACATTACCACTCCCCGTTGAAAAGTTTTTCCTTCGCATACCGCGACGCATTCGTCTGGCAGCACACTGTCGGGATTGTGAATCAACCCTCTCCCTCTTCGTGTCATACGGCTTGAGAGATCTTCGAATAATTCTTCGAGATCTTCCCGGGCGTGGTAGAATTGGACCCATAAGAGGGTAGGTGAGTCTACTTTGATGACTCTTACGTGCAAAGACAAGGCGACTTAGATCCTTGGTGTTGATCTTCCTGATATCCATTTTCTACAGATAATGAAGATTCCTTTCTGCTTACGAGTGCTAGAATGGATGGGTGCGTGACGTGGAATGAAAAAATTTTTTTTTTAAAGTTGTGTCGGCATAGCGTAGCATGCGGTTTAAGTAATTAAATCTGCATGGCATAACATGCCAGCTGAAATGTCGTAGCATGTGGTTATAATAGAGGGTCGGGTGTTTCAATTCCTGAGCTCCAAAGTGCAAGTCCGTCGTTTCCGTCGTGGGGAGGAGGGGATAGGTTCGTTCCTTTATCTCTGTGAGAGGTTTTTAATTATTTGTTTAGTTATTACGAGCTGGGTTAATGTGAGAAATTCGCAAGCGGTTGGGATGAACAATCAGACTATTTTTCTTTATTCTTATTTTAATATTGTTTCTGTTTAATATTTCTAGAATTTCTTGTGGGCCTGAATATTGATCTCCAAATTTTCTAGGCTTCGGTCCTTTTAATAAAAATACCTGATCTCCAGGCTTAAAGGTCTGCGGGTTGATTTTCTTATCGTAGTGTTTTTTTGATTTTTCTTTAGTTTCGATGACATTCTCACGAGCATTTGCCTGTATGGAATGAAGTTCCGTGACAAGATTTATTAAATAATCGTTGTAATTGGATAATTGGTCATCCGGTGCTAGAGGCTCATTTGAAGGTATTTGGGCTATTTTTCCGAATATTAATTCGTACGGAGTATGTTTTGTTGCCTCGTGTACCTTAATATTGCAGTTGAACATTGCAAGGCTGATCCATCTATCCCATTGTTTTTGCGAATTTGCATATTGTTTCAAATTTTCGCTCAAAGCGTGATGCGATCTTTCTAATGATCCATTCGATTATGGGCAAAAGGCGGTTGTGCAAAATTTGCATATTCTGAAAATTTTCGCAATCTTTTTCATTAATTCACTGAGAAAATTTCTTCCTTAATCGGTTAATATAGCCTTTGGTGTTCCTAATATACAAATGAATCTATCTAAAAGGTGTCTCAAAATTAACTCAAGATTTGAATTTGCCGCCATTTGTGCAGTAAAGTGTTGGCAACCCAAAAAAAAAACAATTTAACAGCTGACAGTTTAGGGTTAGTGAAAATGGAGCGTTACACGATAGAACAACGTGTGTTCATTATTGAACAATATTTCAAAAATAATGAAAGTTTGGCGGCCGCAGTTCGAAAATTTCATACAAAATATGGTCGGAATAGTGTTTTAACTTCGTCAACTGTGAAGAGATTAATTGAAAAATTCAGGGAGACTGGATCAGTTGGAGACGCCAAACACACTGGTCGTCCAAAAACAAGCCGTTCAAATGTCAATATCGAAGTGCGTGAGAGTGTTGATGACAATCCAGGAACCTCAATTCGGCGTCGTGGACAAGAATTGCAAATTTCAAGAAGCTCTCTACAGCGTATACTCACTAAAGAGCTGTGTCTCCATGCTTACAAAATTCAACTAACACAACAACTGAAACCTAATGACCGTGAAACAATCCAGTTATTGCATGAGACGTTTCCAGGTCGTGTACTCTCTCGTTTAGGTGATCAGAATTGACCCCCTAGATCGTGTGATTTAACATCATTAGATTTCTTTTTATGGGGTTATTTGAAATCACAGGTCTATGTCAACAAGCCCACAACCACCCGTGCATTAAAGGAGGAGATTCAACGCTGCATCAACGAAATTCAGCCACATTTATGCAAAATGGTCATGGAAAATTTCGACAAACGAGTGCGTATGTGCATGCAAAGCCGTGGAGGCCATTTGCCCGATGTGTTATTCCATAAATAACCCTATCCTATGTACTTTATGATTGAATAAAAAAATAACAATCAAAAGACTAAAAACTGTGTTTTCTATTTAATTCAAATCTTGCGTTAATTTTGAGACACCCTTTACAAAAGCTTCTGCTATTGTTTCGGAAGTCTGATATGGCAGTGGTATTTCCATGCAAAATTTCGTTAATTAATCTTGCAAGGTTAAAATATATTCGTTATCCCTCTCTGTTTTTAGCAGAGGTCCTACAATATCCATTGCTACTTTGTCGAAGGAAGCTCCTGGTGTATCGGTGATTATTATTGGTTATTTAGTTTTAACTATTACTAATTTTTTCAATTGACATTGCAAACATTGCTGAATATATTGTTGAATATCGGATTTTAGATTTTCCCAATAATAGTTATGTTTTATTCTGTGATACGTCTTCGTAACGCCTCGATGTCCTCCAGTGGGCGAGCAATGCGTTTCGCCGATTATAGTAGATCGAAGATCTTTAGGTGGATATTTAATTAATCCATTGCATATTATTAATTTAGTTGTCAAATCAATGAAAGTGTTACGTCCAAACTCCGGAAAAATAGATTTAGAGAGAGAGAGAAGGGAGTAGAAAAGGATGGAGCGTGGAAGGACGGTCAGACTCTAGTCTCGCAAGTATTTGCCTGGAAGCAAACACCGGCGAGTCGAACGCACCCTTTTTTTTTGTCCGCTTCGGAATACTCGTATGGGTCAACGTCTCGTGAAGACGCTATGACGTCGGTCCGAATTTCGAGTCAGGGAAAAATCCCTTTAACTCGGGAATGGACCACGTGCGAGGTTTGAAAGGGCGAGGTTTGAAAGGGCGAGGTTTGGTGATTACGAGGTTTAATTAGGCGGGTTTTAAAAGTAAATGACGAGAGCGAGAGGGGTAATTAGTAACATTATTTATTGTTACTTGTCAAGAGATACGAATAACAGTGGTTATATACAATAGGCGCATTTATTATAGTTAATCTATACATTACAATCTATTATACCGCATAATCATAAGTACCACTACGGCCTATGCACTTTATGTATTGTGTATACATCGAGGGGTCGGGAGAGTCGGATGGGATTTGATTAGTCTATTTCGTGGATGGTAACGGAGGAGGGAGGGAAAAGATTATTGAAGAATTTGACTGGAACTAGGATTGCATGGGTGGAATTCGGAAGGAATACGGGGATACTGGAGGTTGAAGCTTGACCAGAGCATTGGCATTGCGGATTTCTTGAGGATCGAAATAATGAGGGCCGATTGTGTAGGCCCCCTGAGGGATGGATGCGGCTGTAACCCGCGGGAATTGGGAGATGAGTGACTCAAAAGTGTCACTTTCTAGGATCCGGAAGTAGGATCTGGGTGGGGGTGGAAGAATTTCCTCTAGGAACTCCACGCTGTCCGTGGAGTTCGTCGGAGATGGACTTCTTCTGGGGGAAATTGGGTGGGATGATTCGGATGATTGTGGAGGAGTATCGGGAAAGATTCTCTCTGTAAGTGCGTCCGAAAAGGCTGGTGAGGGAGTTCGAGGGGGTGGAGAAGGAGGTAGCTGAGGAGGTGAAGGTGTTCGAGGGGGAGGAGGTATAACCTTAGCCTGATTAGCCGGCGGAGCCGATGGTGACGAGGATGATAGTGGTGGTAAATGATCCTCGACCGGACGATTCTTCCCGAGGTATCTCTTGTACTCTTCGTCCAAGAGTTTCCGTGTTTCCCGGTAGGCCCGGCTTCGAAGCCACCCTTTGAAGGGACGGTTCGGGCGCGGCATTATAATTTAGTGTAAATTATAGTGGTTGATTCTCTTAATCACATATGTGTGTGTGTGTGTGTGTGTGTGTGTGTGGATGGGACTTACTATTCCTACGGATATGGGTGGATCTAGCGGCCTGGATCGGTGGTCCCAGTACCTCACAGAAGGTTGCCACTCGGATGTGGAGACTCTGGTCACTTTGTTCAAGTCCCAAGGCGATGGGGTTTGAATGAGAACGGTTTTGATCGCAAACCGGCAGAGTTTAGTTTTGGAAATTTTAACTGACAGTTAATACTGAGAACTGGCAACTGATCACTACTGACTTCTGACTGGTGACTGCCGAATGCCGAATGCCGAATGCCGAATGCCGAATGCCGAATGCCGAATGTCGCTCCTCGTGGAGGGCCTCTCCTTTTATATTGGCGAGTTAGTGACGCCGAGAGCAGAGCACACGTGTGCTGCTGGGCCAATCCAGGATTAGGGTTAGAATTAGGGGTATCGGTTATGAAATGGGATACAGGGGTATGTGTCTAAGACAACTTTCGTCATCGACCATTTGCCGGATGTCCAATAGGTTCGAGCCACATGTCATTTATTGCTCACAGCCGCTGTTTCGTTTTATAATCCTAATCTGTTTGTTCTTCCCGTTCCTCGGGATAAGGTTCGCATATTTGGCACTTGGTTCCAATATCTAACCCAACGGTTCTATCCCGAATGGTTTATTAGTTAAAAATGTGCATTTATTGCTCTCAGTTGCTGTTTCATTTTATAATCCTAATCTATTTGTTCTTCCCGTCCCTCGGGATAAGGTTCGCCTACGTGGCACTTGGTTTCAATATCTAACTCAACAGTTCTGTCCCGAATGGTTTATTAGTTTAAAATGTTATTTGGCTCGTCGCTATTGTTTCAGATGATCTACTGGTCACTAATTTTTTGTGATGACGAAAGTTTCTAGTCGAAGAAAAGAACCGTGGAGTCCGGACGTAACAAAAGCTAATTGTAATAAAGATTTGATATCATTCCACGGTACGTTATTAACCAAATCGGTCTTTGCAATACTAACGGTTTCAATTTTTAATTTTTCAACGACAGTTCGTAAATCTTTTAACACTATCGAAATTTGTGAAAGTGTCATCGTCGGACCTTCACGTTGTCCTTCGCTAACAGGTAAGGCAATATGGTAATGCTTTTTATATTTTATAGCTTTGGCTTGGCCTACGGTCAGATCTCCCAGGCAAGGGATTTCGTTTCTTTCGAAAAGTTTCTGAGAACCTGAATCTAATGGCCTTCCGTTGGTGTCAACAAAATAAGCAACGTTATCCCTGCGTAGAAATAACAAATCGCGACTATTTATTACGTTATCTTTGGTAATCTTTATTTCCGAACTTTGGTTTTTGCTATTTTTATCCGATTCGTCGTCCTCGTTATCGGTACTTGCATTTTCTTCGATATCTTTTCCCTTGTCAGGTGGATCGTTTCTATTTTCTAGTACTTCGATTTTATTTTCATTTTCTTGCAATAATATTTCTTGGGGAAACCTTCTTCTTTTTGTTTGACTTCGGGTTTGCATTTGATTGTAATTAGATGGTTCATGGATTAGTGCTTCTTCAGTGATTTGTAATCTCGGTGACTCACACAGTTCTTCGTGTGTGAATGGTATTGAGTCTGTATTCTCATCGGACACATTATTGTCGGGCATTTGACCTTCATCTTCCTCGTTGTCCGAGAGATACAATTCAAAGTTTTCGTCCTCTTCTTCTTCGTCGGTTTCTTTTAGCATTCTAGAAACCATTTCTAAGTCTTCCGGATTGTCAAGATTTAATGATCTATTAGGATTAATTGGTTTGCAATTTACTTCTTCGAGATTTACAGGATTTCTTGATAGAGCGTCAGCGTTCATATTGGTTTTTCCTGCTTTATACGAGGTCTGTTCAAAAAGTATCGCGAATTTTGTGTTTTTTCAAAAATTATTTATTTATTCATGAATATCTATTTTGTCCCCTTCAAAGTAATCCCCATCAGATATTATACACTTGTGCCAACGTTTTTTCCAATCCTCGAAGCACTTCAAAAAATTATTTTTTGTGATCTTGTTCAGCTCCTCCTTCGATGCCGTCTTTATCTCCTCAATCGTAGCGTAGCGTCGTCCTTTCATGGGCCTCTTCAGTTTCGGGAACAAGAAAAAGTCACAGGGGGCCAGATCTGGGGAATACGGTGGCTGCGGCATCATTAGTGTGTTGTTTTTGGTCAAAAATTCGCGCACAAGCAACGATGTGTGAGCAAGGGCGTTATCATGGTGCAAAAGCCAATTTTTGTTCTTCCACAAATCCGGGCGTTTCTGGCGGATTGCTTCGCGCAAATTGCGCATAACTTGCAGGTAATATTCCTTATTGACCGTTCTACCCTGTGGCAAGAACTCATGATGCACCACGCCCCTGCAATCGAAGAAAACTGTAAGCAAAACCTTCACATTCGACCGAACTTGGCGCGCTTTTTTCGGTCTTGGCTCGTGCGGCAGCTTCCATTGGGATGATTGAGCTTTGGTTTCCACGTCATAACCATAAACCCATGATTCGTCACCAGTTATGACCCTCTGGAGCAAATTTGGGTCGTCGCGGACAGAGTCCAACAGCTCCTTAGCAATGTTAATGCGATGCTGTTTTTGGTCGAAATTGAGCAATTTTGGTACGAATTTCGCGGCGACCCGTCTCATGCCCAAATCATTGGTAAAAATCGAATGGCACGAGCCAATCGATATGTTTAGGTCCTCAGCAACCTCTCTAACTGATTCGAGAGATTCAACGAGATTCGAGAGATTCAGGTGATTCGACGATTGGCCAATACTATTTTCTTCACTTCATCAATGTTTTCGTCTGTTGTTGACGTGCTCGGGCGTTCGGCACGCTCTTCATCGTTCACATCTTCTCGGCTCTCTGAGAACATTTTGTACCACCGATAAACGTTGCTTCGGTCCAAGGTAGCTTCACCATATGCCACAGTCAACATTCGGAATGCGTCCGCGCACTTAATTTTGTTTTTCACACAAAATTTGATACAGATTCTTTGATCCATTTTTTGGAATAGGCAAAAATCGAAGACGAGCCAAAACACGTGCAAGCAAAGCAGCTGTCAAAAATTAACTGAACATTCAAAATGGCCGAACTTGTCGGCATAAGTGAAAGACATGATTACCAACATAACGCCACAAAAAATCGAAAATCGAATATACGTAACCCGCGAAAATTCAAAATTCGCGATACTTTTTGAACAGACCTCGTACATCAACACCTTGGATGGAGTTTACGAAGTCATCGAATCTTTAACTAATCTTGATGTTACTAATACTATGCTATGTGGACAACATGTTAAGAATTGTACGTTACAAAATGTATTAAAAATATAAAATTGGTGGTTGCAAAAGAATTTTTCAAATAAAAATATGTGTTAACGTATTTATTACATATTTCTTTTTTCCCTTCCTTTGTAATACATGTACTTGTATAAACGAATATGTATAAACGTACGTGTAAACGTACTTATGTAGAAACGTATATGCATAAACGTATATGTATAAACGTACGTATGTATTTACGTACGTATGTACGTACGTATGTATGTACGTATGTATGTATGTATGTATGTATGTATGTATGTATGTCTGTAGGTAGGTAGGTAGGTATGTACGTATGTATGTATGTATGTACGTATGTATGTATGTATGTATGTATGTATGTATGTATGTCTGTAGGTAGATAGGTAGGTAGGTATGTATGTATGTATTATGTATGTATAAATGTATGAATGTATGTATAAACGTTCGTATAAACGTACGTATATAGGCTTGTGACAAAAAACATGTCGCGACACATTTGAAATTCTTGGAAAAAGTGGGGAGGGCCTGTCTCCCTTCTTCGATCCCAGAAGTAAGGGGTGTTCAAAAAGTAAGTTTCCCTGCTCCGGGAAAAAAGCAAAACACAATTTTTAGGTTAAAGTAACATATGTATTTATTGTTTGACTTATAAACTATTTTTCTACATAGTCCCCTTGGACTTGAATACATTTTTTATATCTGTTCTGAAGCTGTGACAAACCATGTTTATAAAAATCCGTGCCCTGTTTTTTAAAGAATAATTTAACAAAGTCTTTCACTTCATCATTTGAATTGAAGTGATGGCCACCCAAACTTTCCTTTAACTTAGGAAAAAGAAAAAAGTCACTTGGTGCGAGATCTGGAGAGTAGGGTGGGTGATCAAAAATTTCCCATTTGAATTTTTCCAGTAAGGTTTGTGTTTTTTTTGCTGAATGAGGCCGTGCATTGTCGTGAAAAAGCAACACTTTTCTCGATAATTTTCCAGGACGCTTTCGTTTAATGGCACTTTTAAGTTTATTTAGCACTTCACAGTAACGATCTGCATTTATCGTGGTACCGGATTCAAGAAAATCAATCAACAGAACACCTTCGTTGTCCCAAAAAACTGTGGCCATAACCTTACCAGCAGAATACTGGATTTTTGCTTTTTTTGGAGCACTCTCTTCTGATTTCTTCCAAACCATACTTTGTCGCTTCATTTCAGGGTTTGTGTGGTGAACCCACGTTTCATCCCCTGTCACAATGCGTGAGTAAACATTTTCGCCTTCATCTTCAAGCATGTCAAGAAATTTTCCTGCAGACTGAAGTCTTTTTTGTTTGTGATCATCTGAAAGCAGGCGTGGGACCCACCTCGCACAAACTTTACGGTAACGAAGATGATCTGTTATGATTGTGTGAATTGAAGTTCGACAAATATCGATTTCAGGAGGCATTGAGTCCAAAATTCTGTCAATTGTAAAGCGCCTATCCGCCAAAATGATTTTTTCGACTGCTGCGACTGCGTCATCTGTAATGGCGGTTTTTGGCCTGCCTGCACGCTGCTCATCATGAACTTCTCCGCGTCCCTCGAGAAAATATGTACGCCACCGACGCACCATTTGCACACTCATGCATTTGTCACCATAAATATGCACTAATTCAGTGTGAATTTCGTTGCCATTAAGCCCTTTTGCAGTTAAAAAGCGAATAACTGCACGCAACTCACAAGTGGACACGTTTTTCACAGGTAGCTCCATGGTTTCCGAGCCGGTACTGATAAAAAAAATTTTTTCGGCAGCTAAGACCAGTTCCGCTCTTATCGGTATATCCTAAACTAAAACTATGTTCGGTCCCAGCTCGCTAGATTGCGCTGGGGCAAAACGGCAGACTAGGGAAACTTACTTTTTGAACACCCCTCGTATATTTTCTTGCGTGTTCCTCTAATGATGTGGCGTATAAGACAATGTCATCCATGTAAACGAATAATTCCTGGCCTTGTAATCCTGATAGTACTAGACCCATCAATCTTTGAAAAGTAGCAGGAGCATTTTTTAATCCGACGGGCATGCGTTCGAATTCGTAATGCCCGAAAGGAGTTGTAAAAGCGGTCTTGTGGCCATCCACAGGATCCATTTTTATCTGATGGAATCCGGAAGCCAAATCACATACAGAAAAATATTGTGCTCCGCCTAATTGATCTAGGATATCAACAATATTAGGTAATGGATATGTGTCTCCGATAGTTTTTTCGTTCAGAGCGCGAAAATCCAACACCATTCTCCATCTTTTGTTTCCTTTAGAGTCCTCTTTTTTCGGGACTATCCATATGGGCGTATTGTAAGGCGATTGAGAAGGCTTTATTATGCCGCCTTCGAGCAGTTTTTCTACCTGCTTATTTATTTCTTCTTTATGAAGTTGTGGGAATCTGTATTGTCGTGTGTTTATAGGTCGGTCGTCTGTTGTGGGTATTTGGTGTTGCAATACATTAGTTGCAGTTAATTTTTCTCCAGGAATATGAAATCTGTCCTGACTATTGGATATAAGATTTATTATGTTTTTCTTTTCTCGTTCATTTAGATGTTCCAAGTAATAATTCCACAATTTCTGTATGTTTATTTCTATTCAGTTTCTCTGACAATATAAAGCATTCGAGCGATAAATTATCTTTTTCTGCCCTCTCCTTTTGTTTTGATTTACATTTACGTGTGAATTTCTTTATTACTTCTTGGGATTGAACTTGTGTCGACGCAGGAATTTTTGAAGACGGTTTACATTCCTTTTCATATAAATATAGGAGGATCTGACATCTTGATCATATAATTTTATTATTTTTGCGATTTTTCATTAATAACGTGGGAGGTTTGATTATTATTACTCATGGATATTCCAATTCTGGAAAATTTAATTTCTTCTGGAAGTATTAAAAAGTTTTTTCCCTTGGATGCTTCAAAATTAAATTGAGTCCCATTGCGTAGCGAGGTATGGTTACTTCCCTCCTCGCAACCGACAGGAGTAGAATTTACCAGGGGGGTACTGAAATCTTCCTCTGGAATTCTAAGATCATTCAAATTTTTCGGAGAAGTTTGGAAATTTCCCCCTCCAAAGATTTGGGAATTAAACTGATTTTTAGAGGAAGTGTGACAACTTTCCTCTCCAAAGATTTTGAAGTTGGATAAATTTTCAAGAGATGTTTGGAAATTTCCCTCTCCCAGGATTTTGGAATTAACTTGAGTTTCAGGAGCGGTTTGGTAACTTCCCCCTCCATGGATTTTGAAATTTAGAGTTTCGGTGAAGGTTTGAGAACCTTCCACTGGATTAAAATTTTTATATAACTTCTTATTTCCTCTCGTAATTTCTTGAATTTTTTCTTTAACTTTATTCTCACCCTTATTTTGGGTAGTGTTATTAATATCTTTCTTTAGTTTATTTAATGTCATATTCTCTTCAATTTCTCCATCCTTATTATTATTAGTAAATTCGTTTTTGCTATTTTTCAAATCTGCATCGCAGTTGGGCACTTCATTACGTTCTCGATAGTTCAAGCCCGTAAA